CTTTTTTTAATATCCAGTTCCGGATAGTTGCTGAAGGATGGAAATATGTCCTGATACTAGAAAGTAGTGGCTTTCTGAAGACTACTAGAGTACTAGAACATCTACAGCCCAACTTTCTCAATTTATTTTGTGGCACTATAGTTTATCAAATACCTGAAGAAGTAATGAAATACCACACAGACATGTTCACACCTAAGAATTTAAGAGCAAGGGAAAAAGGTCTTAAAAGCTATTAAGACTGCTGATATCGTATTATCCAGGATAATAAGCCAAAAAAAGTTTAAAAAAAGTATCAGAATGGTTGTAGACAGATGTCTTTGTACATCTGTCATGTTCACAGGTCAGAATAGTTATTGAACCCTAGAATTGTATGCTAACTCATAAAACATTTGTGGTATTTTCCTCTAGTGAATGTCTTATCACTGTAAATACTACTATTCCTTACAATACTATTTCAAAACAGAGGTAAAATGTTATCTGACCAGCATCTTTCCCAAGTACTCAATTCACTTCAGCTTACAAGAAAAAAGGATTTCACTGTTTTATTTCATACACAACTTCAGCAGGCATAGACACATGTATTCTTCATTGCGCACAATAAAAACAGCATTTAAGCTGCAGTAATAAAAACCAGAGAAAATATGACACAGTTTATATGGGGCTGTAAAGAAGCCTCACACCTACAATACAGTGCTGCAGTAATAATATCCATGCTTCATATACTATGTTATAGGAAAATGTGAGTTAGTTAAAATGGTCTTTATTACCCTCACTCAGACAAGTCAATTTTTGCAGATCCATAGCAGGGCATTTTCTCAATCTTTTCTGTTGTTTCTTAGTGTATTTTGATAAATATAATTACTTGGATAGTTCTCTTTCTTGAACTGTTTAGCAGGGGAGCACAGGTTCTCAATTACAGGTCATGCATATTTTTCAGTCTTCCTACTTTGGTCCCTGTTTTGCCTGCTAAATTTGCATGTATGCACATTGTTATTTGCATTTATTCATAAGCTTTCCCTTGCTCTCCCTGTGTGACAGAAGAATGTCCAGTAATTGAAATGCTTCAGGCTGATGCACTGTTGTAACTGATAATGATTTCAAATGGCCTTCAAAGAGAAGCTCTTTAACATGAAGGGTGTCTGTTATTGTAGCATTATGTATTTAAAACTTGCATTCAGAGTGACCTGTCTGTTCTAATTAAAGTAAGACTTGATGTAACCAAGTAAGACTTGATACCAGATCTGGATCATGTTTATACTAAATTTAATTTAATTATATTAATGATAATTCAGCTGGAGCAAAAAGAAGATGCTATAAATCTCTCTCAGAGTTAGAGTAATGAAATGACAGGACTATAAATAAGCCATCCACACCACAGTGTACGAATATCCAGGTAGCTGTATTTCCCATCACAGCACTTTTGTATAAATGTGGAATCATTAGAAAAATGATACTATCCATTTTCAATTTTGCAGCACATGGAATGATTTATAACCTAGTCACTGTTCATTGTTCACCTCTATAACTACACATAAACAAAGAATAATGATTCCTTTCTTTTTGAATTTCTGAAATATATTTCAGATGTTTATCTGTTTCAGTGCAGATATGTATATTATTTCATATGTAATATATTTATTTCACTTTTCCTAATCCAGATTTATGTAGGAGCTAATGTTTATTTTGTTCAACAGCTTGATAGGTGATTTTGAATAGCAAGATTTTGAGAATGACAAAGAATAAAATTTATTTCTGAAGAGGTTAGGACAAGGGGCGTGGACCTCTGAAGAACTGGCTGGACTTTGAAATGGAGTTTTTAAATAAGTAGTCCATTTTTCAAAACATCTGACTTCTTATGAACATTGAGGGACATTTCTAGGTTTCCAGTGATTTTAAATGTAAAACATCTTATCAACAGCTTAAAGACAGGTGAAGAACACAAATTCAGGCTGCTGCTTATGCAAATCTCATTGCCTGTGTTTGTATGTGAAATTCCTCTCTTGCAAGTGATATCCAACCAGTTAAATTCCCTTTCTCTTGACAATTTTCAGACAGACCTTGTGACCACACCCAAACATGGCTTCTGAATTACCACCGGAGTTATGTACGAATTCATACTAACAAACACCTATGGAGGTCATCTGTAGAACACAGAACTATGCAGATATGCTAAAATCATCATGTTTCTGTAAATTGTCACAGTGAAATTTCATGGATCTGGTTTTCATACATCACAACATTTTACAAAATGAGGTACTTTTCCAAAATAGAAATATATTACATAATTTAATAGTTTAGCTGGGAAAGAACCTGAAGCATGCCCAAGAGATTTAAATTAATACCTAAATCATATCTGTGGGACTGCATCCTACCCACTTCACAATAGTGCATTGTTCAGTAAGAGTAGAGTGGACTTTTAGGCATGTATGCAATCAAAAGACTAAATCAAAATTGCTTGAACATGTCTTTTTAATCTTTTGTGTACAATATGTGTAACAGTGATTACAGACAATGCAGATGTAAACTGATGCAAAGTAATGATGCCATTTAAAATACTAATTAAAAATGAAGACTGTGAAAGACCTGGTAGACTTTTCAAATTAATGCAGAATGAAATACTCTAGCTTTGTCATACTATCGTAATATGGCCATAATATGAGCAGAAATGTTCTCACTTGAATTTAAATTATTATAAAACATGGAAGAATAGGAGTCCAGTGTTTCAAAGTCTAATTCCCTTTATAATGCATAAAATACTTTCCTTGATCAGATGAACTCCAAGATTTATCACTCTCTGTATTCCACTGCAGTGAATATCCAATTTACTTTCATTGCTCATGAAGTCTTTTCTTAAAAGGGTATTGCAGAATCTATTTAAACTACTCTTGTAGCATTTTAATATTTGAGTCTTATATAAAGTGGAGTATTTACATCTTTCCACTTACACTTCCTTTGCAAATCATTCTTTGGAGACTTTGCTGGCCTTTCTCACCAAATGTATCCCTTTTCCAGTTATCCTCAGCAAGGCCTCAGCTCTAACAGCATCTATTCATGCGAGTATCTTTAGCTATACATGCCAGTGATGGGGAGGGACAGCGATGGATGAAAACTTCAGGCTGTATGTGTATTAGGAGCGCTGTATCACTGTAGGAATATGGGAATACCCTCTGTGCAAAGCATTCCATTGTAAACATACTAACAGAGCTTCTGTAGGCAGTCACAGCCAAATCTACTGGTGGTAACAACATCACTGACAAAAGTGTGATTTTGTTAGTGTAGATAATAGACTTTTCTCAGAAATTGGTTTTGTAGATCTACATCTAATTGCTTGTGAATTACTTAACTCTTACTGACATCTTGCTGGTAAAAAACAAAGGTGGAGACATTTCCATAATTCTCTGGCCAACAGTTTCAGTAATGGGAGTGTACTGTAATATTGAAATGCTGTAACAGAGCTGGAAAACAGAATGCCTTTTTTCAGTTTGGTGGAATTTTATACCATCCTCAAATGCAAGACTGTGGCTAGAAATCACGATCTAGCCATAAATAATTCTATTATATTGCTTGTTTGGTGGCATTTACTTGGACGGAGGTTTCTTCTTTTCCTTACACCAAAGCAGATTTGTTCTCTGGGGCTGAAGGAGGTCAAAAATCATACATGTGCTGAAGCTATAAAGAAAGTCTGTAGAGAATTGAGTAAAGACCCAACGGTTTGGCTGCCTTAACTCAAAGCTCTCACCAATTGCACAAAGTCAACATAAATACTCCCTGACTTCACTGATGTTACATATCCTCCCTGCCCTTCACAGATTGAATTGCCACCAACTAGGACAGAAAATGGGACTTCAATTTTAAGATCTTTGCTGTTATGCCCAGCGTCAGTGTAGCTAGTAGGTGACCTCAAGAAAAGTCACTAAGTTGGCTTTTTTCCCACAACACATTTTGCTGGTGCTTTAATCTAGTTTTAAATAGAGTAACAGGTGGGTTTCCACCTCTTCCTTTGAAAGATTGTTTGGTAGCCCAGAATTCTGGAAAAGCTAGATATTGTGTACAGTCAAAGCTGATTCAAAACATAAAAACCAAGCTCTGGCTTGGTTGGAGAGTTAGACATATGAAGTGAAAATTTACAATAAAGCACCTGGATTTTCTCATCCATGTTGCACCAAGCTGTCTCCATATTACTCCAGCCAGACGCATGTTAAGAGAAGTTGCATGGAATACTGGATATGGGGAATGGTTACAACAGTGTTTAGAGATTTAAACAAAGAACTCCAATTATACTTCTTGCAACTGTATCTTTCATACTATTATTTTTTATTATCATCATATCTTTTATGTTATTCTATTTTTTTCCTTAATACATGTGTAACATTGGCAGCTGTCCACTGAAAGATCATAGCTTGTCTTCCAAGTATGCATGTTCCCTAATTTTTAGAAATCTTTATATAAATATATGCAAGTGCAGCATTGTTACATTTCTTTTCACTTGACACAAAAAATTGCATAATATGACAAACAGTTCTCAGAATTTGGTGTTTTGAAGATTTGGCTCAGTACTTGCAGATATATAACTGAGCATTGTAAATTCCTATCTAGATCCATAATGAATACAAAATTGAGTCAATACATTTCTCTGCAGCTTGTGAGAGCTCTCAGTCACTTTAAAAAGAACAAGTCTTACATTTTACTTTGTTTTACAGTCATGTGCATAGACCAAATAGTTAAAGATTATAATTCTTAAAAGAGACTACCAAAGTAATAGAATATGCTCTCTTCATTCTGGCCAAAATGAAGGGAAATGCCCGGGTAAGGTTTGCTGAAGTGGATGTGACATGTTCAAAGTTATCCATGGATTCCAACATTTTCCTAAAGCAGGAGAACTGTGCACAGTCCTTGTTTCCTTTGACTCTTTAAAAGTACATTTTTTTCAAAATGATTTACAAAACAAATGAACAACCAGATGTAATTATTCATTCTGTTTGTTTGATCAGTGTTATGTTATCCTTTATTAAGTTGTATTGTGGTAGGTAATTCTTTGCACATGTTCGTTCCCGGGTTACAGCAGAGTAAAAATAGCTATATAACAAGATTGAAACCAGCCAATACAAAATAGACCTATAAATTTAAATTAGTGAAAACATGACTCACCTCTAGATGGTTGCATCTTTGCTGAGTTTGCAGTGATCCAAGTAGATAATTCATGGCAACTGCTTTCCTTGGTTTTAGGAACCATGAAAATTAATGGGCCATATAAGAAATACTGATCTCCTAAGACAATACATCCTCTTATTTTCTCTGTTAACACACATGTAACATGCCAATCACACAAATAGTAGCTTTTGCAAAAGAATCAATTTTTCCTTTTTTTTTTTAGGCCACAGTATGGTGGCAAATTCTGCCAAGGTTCCAGTCGTATTTATCAACTTTGTAATAATCAGCCATGCCCAGCAGAGAGTTTGGACTTCCGTGCCCAGCAGTGTGCAGAATACAACAGCAAACCTTTCCGGGGATGGTACTACAAATGGAAGCCATATACTAAAGTGGAAGGTAATTATGCCAGAGCTCTGATGGACAAAGGCCATTGCAGGAAGTGAGCTATAAGCTGTAATTCATCCATATTCGTTGGGCAAATATCACCCTGATGTAAGCAAATAGAAATTCAGTTGGCTTATTTGAGATGTGTTTGCTTTCTAGCATAGTTAAATCCGGCCTCCTGTGCGATACTGCCTGTATGAACATGCAGGATTGATTTTGGTTGTGAATTTAAATCTTTGTCCTTAGAATGACTCCCTCACTGTTGCTACCCCTCTCTTTCATTTTATATTACATATCTATTAGCGTAAAAACAAAACAAAACAATTTCCATGGATTTTTCAGCTGGGAAATGTGAGCTCCCACAACAACAGTACCAGAATCTTCCTTACTTTGGCATGTTCTCAGATTTCGAGAGAACAATAAATCAACCTTTTGACTTTTCTGCTGGTATAGTCCCATGAGAACTGGAAAAACAAACAATGTACTTGCATAAAATTTTTAAAGTCATCTTTTACTTAGAGATCTTTATAAAGTTCAGGTCTCAGTAACTATTTCTTGTCTTTTGTACAAGCAAAGTTTATTTTTACTTTAAGCATCTTAATTTTGCAAATATTTTGAATATATATATACACACACATACATGTAACTTTAATTCGTAACCTGATTATATTTTCTTCTAAAGACTTTGCAGACATTTTCATGGGTATTTAGAAACCTATGTCTTAACAGCCATTGTGAAGAGAGGAAAGAGGAAATATGGTTTCACAGCATGTAACAATGGGTGTTGTATAACAGGGAGAATAATGCATCTTGTTTAACACAAATTAGGGTAGCCTACACTGGTTTTAAAGGTAAGGGCTGTGTTTAGTAAAAGAAACAGGAGCTTCAAATTAAGAACAAAAGGCATGATTTTCAAAAGCAAGATGTCCCCAAGTGACTCTGAACTTGCAAATGCCTGTCCTCTCTTAGCTTCTTTTCAAAATCTCCCCCAAGTTCTGCATTTATAGTCCTGAAAACATGATCTGGTTTTCAAAATTATTACAGACACCTTACCTCTGTAGAAAGTACTATTGAAAATCCAGCTGCTTATTTAAGAATAAAAGGATACTGTTTGGAATCCAATTTCATGTTCCTCAAAATTTTGTTGCAATGTTTTATTTGTTGCACTTACTATTTGTATTAAAATTGTGTATTATTTCAGCAGTTGTGACAATGTTTACAATTGCAGGAGTGTTTTTGTCTATGTAGAATTAATCAGCCCTTTATAAGCCTAACATACCACCAATGTATAAAAAGAAATTTGACTGACAATGGTTGGGATTTTTTTAGAGGAAAAGTGCTTTTGGTAGGGGAAAATCTTGTACCTTGACATCTAGGATGCAGGAAGGAACAATAGCAGGGTGCTAATACTTTCTTGCCTTGTTTTGTTTTGTTTTGTTTTGTTTTTTTCCCCAGAGGAAGATAGATGTAAATTGTATTGCACAGCTGAAGACTTTGACTTTTTCTTTGCAATGTCCAGCAAAGTGAAGGATGGAACTCTGTGTTCTCCAAATAAATATGATGTTTGCATTGATGGAATATGTGAAGTAAGATAAAATTAAGTTTCTTACAATCCTAATGTCTTTTTTTTTTTAAAGTGTGCAATTGACTCCTTTATGGAAAATGCAGCTGTTTCTTCAAATTCCCTTGTGTCTGAGTCCTTCACTTGTGCCTTTTGGTTGCAGCAAGTAGGGTGTGATCATGGACTTGGTTCCAAAGCTGTATTGGATGCTTGTGGAGTTTGTAAAGGAGATAATTCAACATGCAAGTTCTTTAAAGGCCAATACTTGATCCAGCACAAAGCTAATGGTAAGGAAAGCTGTTCCACATGATCATCAACTCATTGCTCTGCTGTATCCCCATGTAATATATATGACTCCTTGCTCATTAGGGCAGTGGCTAAAAGTCCAGATGTGAACTGAAAATCACAGGGAGAGTGAGAGAAGAGTTCACATTTCTCCTGTTTCTTAAGCCACATTTTCCCTTTACGTGTGAATTTCCTCTTAAAAGAGATTTTAGGATTGAGGCAATTGAAAAAAAATAGCTGTCAACAGCTCTGACTGTAATGGACTGTAGAAGATATAAAAAGCGATACACAGCATAATGCCAAACATGACAGTATTTCCATGTCCATTTTCAAATTAAGTTGACTGGAAGCTGTCCAGGTGATTCAGTGGATGATCCAGTCACTGGGAGGTGGACTTTTCTTTAATAGACTATCACATGCTTCTTGTGAAATAATTTTGCTATACCTCAGTTTCTCAGGCATAAAATGCAGATAGTATTTCTTTACCCATGGGGTTATTTTTATTTTGAGGATCCATTTATTGTTGATCCAAAGACATGTCGATACTGCAGTAATACAGGCCAGGGAATTGTTTAGGATATAGTAATACAGCGATACAATGCTAGAAAAATAACCTAAACTGTGCACTCTGTGAGATTAGCTGTGTGCAGTGCATGTTGGAGATTGTCAGCCGTGTCTCATCTGACTGTAGAAAGAGTGAGATTTCCACATGCTCAGAGTTCAGTGGCTCACAGCAGGGAGATCCAGTGGTATACAGGCCTTTCTGAAAGCTCTCTGCATCCTGGTGCATCTCACCTCTAAAACCTTGTCCAGGATGGAAGTAGTGCCTTCCAACTACTGTAGGGAACTGCAGGGAAAACATGGTAAAACAATTACAGTGAAATCAACATTACTCTGTTCAGCATTTTTCTAAGGTGAACTTGCTTTTTCTTGTCTTTAATCACAAAGAAAAATTCCAGGAATTTAAATACCTCTGAGTTACTTTGATTACAAGTCTGCATAGGGGGGTTAAAAATCAGAACTGGTTTCTCCTTGTGAAAACGGAGTAACTTTAGTGGATCAGAACAGCTGTCTTGAGTATCTTTTAAAATGCAAAATTTTCAAATTGGCTCAAAAATGATAAACCATCCCTACATGTATGACAATTTCAAAAATGTTGCTTACTTCTTTCATTTCAGACTATTATGCCGTGGTCACTATTCCAGCAGGAGCACGCAGTATACAGCTCCATGAAATGCAAATCTCCACCAGCTACCTTGCAGTGCGCAACCTCAGTAAAAAGTATTATCTAACAGGAGACTGGACCATTGACTGGCCAGGAAAGTTCTCTTTTGCTGGAACAGTTTTTGATTATCAACGCTCTTTTAACCATCCAGAGAGTCTATATGCAGCAGGACCGACTAATGAGACGCTGGTCTTTGAAGTAAGCTTTCTTCTGTTTATTCTTCCCTTGATGTCTATTACAGAATTAGTAACGACAGCTTTAGCTCTGCACTGTAGCTCTCAGCGAGATTAAAGAATAGCGTTGAGTCACGATAGTATTCAAACTTAATTGTGTGGTCATGCTAGATTGAAAGGTCTTTCACCAGTTTATCAAAGTCTGAAGTTTAGTAAACCATCACAAATTCAGTGAAAAGGAAGATGCTTAAAACACACCATATAGCATTATTTCTCAGTTGCTGCACAATGGTAATGGAGATTATAAATGCATCCCATCATTGGTATACAATAAAATTCAGTCATGTAAAAATTAAATCTAACACTACTGCAAGGCTTAATGGTAACAGTTTCAAATAATGCTTCTGAAACTGCAGGTACATGTATCTGGTTTTGCATTTACCTTGGGATGGAGATGGTCAAAGTACCACACACAGACTTCTGTGCAATCTCTGTTGATTCAGTTTTATTGGTGATAGCATCTAAAATAATGGGTTTTATATATGTTTATCTCCCAGTCAAATTTGTATCACCTACTCTGTCTGCCAGATGTCTTCTGTTGAAACTATATTTAGTAGAAAGTAAATTTGTTGCTTATATGATTTGTTCCAGTGTTACAATTTTGAAATTGGCCACTGATACTTCTAAGAAAAATATCTTTCTGCATTAGGTTACTTTACTAGATTTTCTTTAAAATGCGTCAGAACATCTGAGAGTCAATTTCTGGATGAATTGCCAAAGTCTTTATTCCCTGTTAGCTCCATTAGTTTGCCTGCTTTGTTAGAAAGCTCTAGCAAATCCTTGGCTCTGTAACTCACCTGTTACGTCTCTTTTGATGAATCCTTCGCTGTGAGGAGGAAGGATCCCTTCCCACAAAGGATTCAGTTCCTTCCCAAAGCTTCCAGCAACATTCCAGTCAGCTCCCTATCAAACACAAAGCTTTCTCTGGCGTGCACTTGGGGAGCAGCAGAGCGAGTGCTGTGCCCGCTCTCTGAGGCAGCGATCTGCAGTTCTTCGCCCCAGCGTGTAACACCCGAACTGCAAAGTGCCCTCTGCAGAGGGTCAGCAGGAGCGGTTAGCTGGGAACTCTGCAGCCCATCTCCCTTACACAGCTTTGTTCTGTTAAACTAAGAAACACAGTAAGTACAGACTGTGACATGAAAGATATTCTTCAAGGATTGTTTGAACTTTCACAACTATTCAGTGAAGTTTGTATTTGGCATACTGAAGAGCCTTGCTGCTATTCATACTGATTGAGTAATGTACTTACACGTATCTTTAAGAACCACTGAAGTTCATGGACCATGAACACATGTTAAAGTACTTTAGGATGAACACATGTTTTGGAATGGACAGTTTGATATGGGCTAGGGTGTGTATTTTCACAAATTTGCAATGCCTTTTTAAAACACTTTTTTTTTTTTTTTCAGTTGACGGGTTTTCATTTTGGGTGGGTATCCTAATAGGGATGCTTTAGTCCATGGAAGAGTTTGGTCTACAAGCTACAGACATGCTTCCTTGTCTGCAAATCACCTCCAAAATAGCCTTACACCAAAGAAACTAGCACACTTATAAATACTATGAAATGTTAAGCTGAACTCTCAGGAATCTTACTTGTCATAGTCCAAAGTAGATTGAACTATATTATTATAGAGCTAAAGTATGAGTAATAAATTGCCTGCAAGATTACTTACTTGGCTGCATATCATGTACATACTTCGCAAAGTAAAGATTAAAGACAAAATTTTTAATGCCAAATAACACTTCTATTTTCATCCTATCAAATTATGCTAAACAGTTTTATTAAGATTTAACATTTAACTGGCGGCTATTGCTCCTATGAGGGCTTATTTAAACTTCCCTTGTATTTTTATTGAAATACCTACACCACTGGCATTGGCAATGAGGGATGCTAACAACTGAAAATGTTACAGTTACGTATTCCCCAATTATATATATATCTATGAGCTGTAGTTAAGATTTTTTTTTTTGTTTCAATAATTTAAGCAACATTCGACAAGCTGAATTCTGAAAAAAAGGCAGAATCTTGTGTCTTCAAGGATCTGCATTATTTATGATTTACCAATAACTAACTCCTAAGCATCAAAAATGCCAATGAACACTAAAGAAATATGTTTTTATGAGAAAACACATATATTGCTGAAGACCTGTTGGCAGCAGTAATAATGAAACCAATCCTACTTCAACTGTAAATACCAGAAACTGACAGAAGGATGAAAAAATGAATGCTTAAGCATACTACATTGTAGCTTTGTTTTTATTTTCAAAGCAGCATACAAAAAAAGTCCTGCCAGTAATTTTTTATCCAATTAAGTTGGTTTTCAATAAGATAAGGTTTTCCTGCGTTCAGACCTCAACTTCTTCATGTAATGTTTAGATATTTTTTTCATCATTTTCAGTTAAGCTGTATTTAAAATAATTTAAATATTTATTTTCTACATTAGGGTTTTTTTCCAGAAGAATTCAGTGCAAGTCCTTGTAAAAATGCATGCTGCAGGTATTGAGAAGTCAAATAAATTGCATGCATAAATACAGGAACTTTTATTATTCAAGAGGGCAGAAAATACAAGGTTTTGTAGGTGTATTTATTGCCATTCCACTGTGATCTGAAAGACAGATTAACACAGCTCGTGCATGTTTAATTTTGTAGTCATAGTTTTGCTCCACATTTGTGTGGTGACTCAAATGCTCCAGGTTTTTGACTGCATTTCAGAATGCAAATCAGCCTGTATGTATCCAGAAAGTTCAGGTTCTGCACATCCTCTGAGCAACATTCACAGGAGAGGATGGGACCAGTGCGCTCCAGGTATGGGTCCAGACAGGTCTGGCAAGTCTGCGCTCACGGCAATCATTTCCTTTGAAATGCAGTCATTCTCCAAAATATTTTCTTGAAGGAGACATCTGAAGCATGTATTAAGAGAGAAGAATGAAACCCAAGTAAGAAAAAAAAAATCTTAAAATTCTCTTTTGTCTTGCATATCACAAGTTCAGCCTTGCAGTTCTATGAATTTTTTTATATATATCTTATTTTACAGGAAGTTCCTATGCATCTATTTTTCTGTCAGGTTTTTCAGTAGTTCAGCAGAGCATATATCATTTCATCAGACCTTGCAGTCCTAAACACTGTTCAAAAATAGCTAAGAGACAAGAAAAAGACTTTAGATAAAGTGCTTTTCTTATTTACTCTGGAATTTCACAAAAAAGTAAATACATATATATATGTTTGCATATTTTATATGTATGTAATTATGAGAACAAGTCATACCGAAGAAGACAAAGGGCAGTGAGTCTGTAATTTAACTAGGTTGTGGGAGAAAAAACACCCAAACTATTGTATGGCCAAATATTTTCTGAGGAGGAGGAGAACACTTGAGATGAAAATGGAATTATATGTGTAGGACTAGTATTTCCTGAGCACGACTACTGAAAGTGTAAATGCATGATGAGATTTTAGAATTTGTCAGAACCCTTTCTGAATTGTTCAAGAATTAACTTCACAGGTGGAGAGGGAAAGCAAGGAAGGTAACCCAGTAAACTAGGGCCCTTCAGAATTTGTGTGTCTGCATCCTTCTGAAATTGCGGTTAGTATTATTGATATTTGGGTGATTGTGGGTTTGTAGAAACCAGTAAAAGCTGAAATGAAAAATATTCATGGATTCAGAAGGCAGTTCCCAAAATGGTCAGATTCAGGCTAGACGAAATAACAGACAAAGGTCAAAGCGGTGGAAATATGATAGTTAAATGATAATCTAGCATCAGAAATTAATACCAGGTTTTAAAAATATGGTTTCTGTAGCATAATTGTCACATCTTAAATGGAAACATGCTGGAATTTTTTTTTAATGTAGTTGAATATATTCAGCTTATTTATCTGTCATTTGGTCATAGGTAATCTAAGGTCAGCACTTTCAATTTAAAGACCTTGTCAGTGTTTTTCTGTTAACTGAAAAATACTTCACTTGAGGAGAAACAAACAGTAAATTCATCATTCATTTATCTAGCTTTGGAAATAAGGGCTGTCAGCGGGCACCACTAACTGTTGAAAATACTTTCCAGAAGAGGCTAGCAGAGCACAAGGGCCATCACGGGGCTCTATCGATACAAAACTCGTATGAGTTCACTTGTGACATCTACTTGTTGAAATATTCAGTCACCTTCCATGACTGGCTCGAATTATGGGAAAGACTCTGAAAGGGCAAAAGAAACTGAACTGTTATGTGGGCATGAAAAATATTGCATGACCACGAATTGCTAAACTAACTTAAAAACATGAGAGTTTTATAATTTGGTTTTCCATTCTGTCAGTAAACAGATGAAGAATGGACTGATTTAAGAACTAAAAACCCATTTGAGAAAGCACTGTAAAGTTTTTCGGGATGAGATAGGATCGGTATCTTCACTGAAGGTTACCGCAAACTTGGTGAAATATTGAATCGAGGAATTGTGAAATCTTTGTGAAAAAAAGATAGTTTATTTTGACATCAATAAGTAACAGATGGAAAGGATGCTTTGCAAAGTAGCAGACATTCATGGGATGGGAAGGTGAATGGAGCGTCAAAGCAGGAATCTGTCTAATTAAAACCAGTAAATCATTTCCTCTTTATCAATAGGGGGAAAAAAGAGAAAGGAGGCCAGGTGGAATGACTTTACTGATGATCTAGCTGCCACTGGGAGAAAGCCAAGTTGCAGTTATAAAGCATTACATTTATTATTAGCTACTAGATGATAAATTTGTACCGATTTCCCCTAAAGAGACAGTAAGCTAAAGAGAGCTAAGATGTGCTTATAAGATACAGATGTTGATTCAATACAATGGATAAAAGGGTTCTCCTTTAGTGAGGAGAGATTAGCTGGACAGTATCCCCGAAGGTTGTACATTTAGCATGTGAACAGTAAAAAAAAAAATGGAGACACAATAACAAGAGAAAATAAATTTGAAACAGCTGAACTAGAAATGAGATCATA